TATCTACAGAGCTACATCAACGGGGAAAGCTTTGCTATAGGTTTAAGGTTCAGGTCTCAGGGTTACGGCATGCTCCGCCGCAACTCCTAACCGTTACATCCCAGTGTAGATGGGTGCTCATAGCAGCATACCCTGAATGCACCTGGGAAGCAGGCCAGCAGTTGCTTGTCTGGTTCATTCTGGTTCATAGTAGTGTTTTCTGAGTAGTAGGCCTCAACAAATCATAGTGTATTCATGTACGTGCCTGTAGTTCCAGTTCCCTACGCAAGTACCCATGATAACACTTAAACCCTAAAAGTAAACCCTCAACTCTAAATTGGGGCCCCTTTCCAGGTCCCAAGGTAGCTACAGCACCCTTAGAAAACCCTAAACCCTGAACCCAAAACCCATCGAAGGTACCATGACTTAGAGAACTGTCCACTCTTCCACATACTTAGAGCAATGACCGGCCGCGATCTCTCACTGGGCACAGGAGCCTCCAGAGTTTAGGGTTTAGGGTTTACTGCCAGTAGCTTGAGTGTCCCACTGACTCATCGGCCAAGAAGAAGCTCAAGCGACCTCTGTATCTCTGATAACCACAACACCAAGGAGTTTGCTTGGAAGCAGGGCTTATGGCCCACTGCGGGCTGGAGGTTGTAGGGAGTACCTTCGGCTAAAGACTTTAAACGAATCGAGGGCTGCTACGAACTGTTCCACGGCAGTGAAAGAAGCCTCGGCAAAACCGTGACCATTGGGGCCAGCACGGCGGTTCAGGTCGCTGATTTGCTTTTCGGCTTTTCAAGCTGGAAGTTCCATCACGTTCACGGGCTGTGATTGAGAAGTTTGTGCTGGCATTGGGCTTAGGCTTTTCGACTCTCACTCTCGCATAAGCTTGGGCTCTTAGATTTCTGGGCTTGATAGTTTGATCTGTCGGGATTTCGATGCTTGTACACATCCGGGCAGTGCCAAGCATCGGGCAAAAAGGAAATCACGGCAGTTCACGCAAGTCTGGAAACAAAAACACAAGCCGACCCCCCAAATACCAACACAAGCAAATCAATACACACTAATTTGCTCGACGGCACATTGGTTTCGTCAATAGGTGCCGGTAGAACCTTCCACCTCTAAGTTAAGACTTCTACACAGGAAGACACTGAGTGCCACACTGACAGCCCAGTTCCATTCGATCGTGGCTCCTGTGCACAAACTCTGGGTTTGTCTTGCGGTGGGGAAATGCAACGTGCTCCCACCATGAAGCTAACAAACTGCCATCCCAAACCATCAGCGAGCGGTTTCCTTCGGCTTAGAGTCACCACGCGGCAACATTGTGCCGCAACTAGCAACACACTGCACATTCCTGCGATGCGCAAGTAAACGCCCAATCCTTCAACTACGAGTCTGTCACATGGCTCGGCTGGGCGCATGCTTGTTGGCCGGTAGCAGTGTCTTCAAAGGCTTGACAAGCACATCATTGAATCATTGAAGCAGCAAGAGTGGCCGACAACAACCCAGTTTACTTGTTCCGGGTCATGCCTAGGATTCACGATTCGACTAACCTGCTGTTTCCTTCCGTTCAAGCGCGCCAAGTCCGACGCACGTAAGGACAAAGCTGTATGAGCGCATGGCACGCAACTCACGGAAGGCTGACTATATGACATGCAGATACACGAACCCCGGGAACCCTAAAACAACATGACATTGCTCTGCGATTGCTGACGATATCGGCGTGTGCAACAGCTGAACAACACAATTTCTCAGAAACAGCAGGCATACGTCACACACACACAGTTCTAAACCTCACGTCACCCGATGGCCATAATCGGCGGAACAGACCCCAGATTGACTGATCCAACCACAAACCCTGAAATCCTAAGCCCTAAGCCCTGAACCTTAAAACCTATCACTACTAAACCCCCAAACCCGCAGTTCACCCGAAAGCAGAAGGGCAGTCCGTTGACCACGCGCCAAAGCATGCCTGGTCGCAGCCAATGGTCCCCAAGCAGAAAGCATCCCTTGCACAGTGATTTATGATTTAATGTTATCTCTATTACTATCCCTAACCCTCCAGGGACCTACTATATAGGGCCCTAGGGGCTCTGGCACCCTATATAGTAGGCATTTGGGGGGTTAGGGAATGATAATGAGGTATATCTCCTCTACCTACGTTTCAAGTTCACAATCAACAGAGTCAACCCCGAACCCTCGAAGTCGAAGATCACCATCGTCTTAGCGGGTTCGGCCCAGCATACGTGCCTAGTCACATGGCTCCATATCAATTCAACACTTAAGATTGCTGCGCTACAGCCGCAACGCCGAGCCATAAGCCTCACTAAGGTTGAGTTTTTTGTTTAAGGTTCTGCTAACGGTGCCTGCTTTAAACAGAGGCTCGGGTTCAGGGTATTGTTGGGGGTACCTGCGCGGAAAAATTTTAGGAGAACCAGGACCTTGAAAGGTTCCTTCGTTAACCCGAAACCCCAAAACTCTACACTCTAACCCATTGCGGGACCCCAAAAGCCCAGGGCCCGCAAACCCATGCCCCCCTTTCGATCCCTGCAACCCGAACTGCTGTTGATGATATAAATCCTGCATTACCTTGAGGACCCTAAACTATGGGAATTTTGGTATGTTCCTTATGATGGGTAATGCAGGATTTATATCATCAACCGTATGACAAGTTCAACTTCCTTCCGCTCTAAAGGCCTGCAGGACTTTGGCATGCAGCGTTTCAGGTTCACGGCGGCATATGACGGCTTAGAGCCCTAAACCCTCATGATGAGTGTAGGGATGACATCCCCGAAGCGAACGAGAAACCTCGAACCCAATATCAACCCGCTACCTTTAAACCACCGAAAAGAAGCCTGGAGGTGGAGACGTCCCTTCCGACACATTGAGGGGGTCCATGGCCTCATTCGGCCGGCCGGTAGTGTTTTGCTTGGGTTTCCGACGTGGCGCTCCAATTAGGGGCTCCTTTAGGCTTATTCGGTTCAGGGCCTGTAAAATCTATACAGGGGTCAGGGCATAGGACCGGAAGCTCTCAGGCACCCAGCACGAAGACGCGACGGACACAATTAGGTGCCGAACAGCAGAGTCCACTTTAAGAGCCTCAGCGAGGTTTAGTTAAGGCAAATTCCCCTCGCCGTACCTGCAACAGCTGTGTTTTGCAGGGACCTAGTACTTGTCGAATCATTCCCCTAAAAACAAGCGGAAACCTGCCTAAAAGAAACCCCAATACGTCAAACAAGCTGTCCTGACACTGCAATTTGGCCATAAATCCATGAGAAATACCCCTACAATCCTAAAAGGTGCTATTTGGAGCCAAAGAGAAGCAGGGGTGAGCCCAGGCCCGTCTGGGTGCACGGCGGCTTGCACTTGAGGCAGAACAGGGCCCAGGATGTGGAGATTGTCCCAAACCTGTCACCGGGTGTACGAAGTTTGAGGGTAGTCTTTCGGGTTTAAGCGGGTCATACCCTTCCTTCTGGTCCAAGCCACAATTACATCGGTTAAGCTCGGGTTTTGATTCTCCCCTTCAGGACTCGAGGGTCGAACTTTCGGTGCTTTCGGGCTCAGGAACGTTTACACGTTATAAGAAACCAATTTCGGCCACTGCTAAGACTCCGCTTTTTCCCTCTGCACCGCATAGGCAGGAGGCGCTCGCCATCAAGGGACGTTGCTCCTGACCACGGACTTACTTAGGGTGGTTCGGACAGCCAGAGTAAGGAGTATTTCATGGTCCATGAAAGAGTTGCGGGATACGCCGCAACTGCCTAAGGCTGTGACTCGATCTTACTGACCAGGATCTTGAAATACATACATACACAAACACATACTCATTGTGCATGCATACTTACAGACAGACCGCCCGACCGACGAACAGACATACACATGCACAGACACATATATCAGTAAAAATGTATCTGTATATACCAATATCTATATATATATATACATACATACATATGGCGACTTGGCAATATGCGCACTGTCTGGAGTCTGGACTGCAGAATTCGTGAACGGTTTGATCCGGAAGGGGGACTTGCCGAGGGACCCCCTACAACAGTGCGTCGGAGTGCAGCTTGTTAAACTAAAGCCCAACATAAACTCCTTCGGCACCTTGGGGCGTTGCTAAGCTGTGTAGATAGGAAACGGAGAGTGCCGGACATGGTTTAAAGTCTATTTAAGCTTCAGATGGAAGCGGTTATTGCTCTTGCTCTTGCCATTCTCATTGTTGCTCTTCCTGTGTTGTTGTTTTTTTTTTTTTTTTTTNNCTGCTGCTGCTGCTGGTGCTAGTGCTGGCGGAGGCGTGGTGGTGTTGTTGCTGTTGTTTAGGGGTTAAATGGGGGATATAGGGTCGGGTGGAGGGGACGGAGTTCATATTGACTTGGTCGGGGCACATCGGGGCTCTTTTCTTTTGGAATTTAAGGATACGGGTTGAGAGCCAGTTGACGGCTTTGGGTGGGCCTGGGGTCTTGCCATTTTCCCAATAAAACCCTCATGAACACCCATAGATCCCTTTTCACAGCCCGACAAAAACGCTAGTCCGCTCATGCCTATCTTCCGTCCTGGCTTTCTCCATCCAGACCGGTGGATCGGCCGGAGATGTTGCGCGCGACGCCTCAGCTGTGAAACCCCTGGGCGATGCGAATACCAACGTGCGGAATGCTTGATCATAGGGTCTTTGTAGTCTTTAGAGATTCAGAGGTCTGTTAATTAGTGCTGTCGGTCTTGTTGTACATTTTTGTTTCTCAGGGAAGTGGAGCGCTGGAAGAGGGAGGTGTAAGATTCATAGGTACTTAAAAGGCTTAGTTCAGGAGCTGTGGACTGACAGGTTAGGTCAGCCAAGACCCTTCAACGCACCCCTTTTTCCGTGTGCGTCGCAGAGGGCTCCATGTCGCACACGTAGCGCGAAGGGAGCGTTTCAAGGCAGCAGCTCGAGCCGCCTTCTCTTCATTGGAACAGGGGCTCGACAAGGGCTCTCTAAGGCACCACGTGTTCGGGCGCATTCGCCGCATAGCGATGCTGGCTCACATGCCCCCCAGAACAGTCTTGGCGCGGATAAGGCTTTCCTGAGCATTCTACCGCAGGCGACTCCGAACACATCCCATTATAACCCAAAGCCTTACATCCACGGACGACCAAAAAAAATGGCGTAGCCGAATCCTAAACCCTATAACCCTGAACCCTGACGGCTAGATTCCTTCTCTTCGGTGCGCGCTTGCTCTCGCAGGTCGAAATGCTCCAGGAGCCTGAGCCATCAGCCTCCCTCTGAAGGCACCGCGGTTCCATAAGGGCTCTGTTAGCGATTCTATACGTCTGGTCACGGGCTCAAAGTGAGTTTACAGCACAAATTGCACGCACAAGTTCAGATTCAGGGTTAAGCACTAGCGGCTTAGCCCCAAAAGCAGTAGATCAGTGTCCAGACCCCCTCTGTGTCCCTCATGTGAATCCTGATGTTGCCAAAGGGGCCAGTCACACTCGCTGTGGAGCTCGGAAGTGTACTTCGCAGCTGCTGCAGACTCCTTGTGCGGCTGAAGGGTTGAACTTCTTGCCACCACACAATCCCTTAGGCATTCGTCCAGACTGAGTTTCATGATCAGAGGGGGGAGGCTCAGAAACCGTCAAACCTCAAACCTAAGCACAGTCAAGCTTTCACCTCTGTAGCCGTAAAAATCTAGCAGTCTCCTGCGTCGTGCCTGCCTTCTCTTTCTTATCGTCGTTCAGGTCACCTGAATTCCCCATGTTCATGCGCACAAGCAAGTGGCGAAAACCAGAAAAAACAACAACAACAAACTCTGAACCCCCCCAAACCTCCCAAGCCTAAGGCACCAACTCAACAAGCCTGAACGGCACAAGTCAAAAGCTCACACACTCAACTGTCGTTCGAGACCATAAGCTCCCTGTGACAGCGGCCCTGACTTCGTTCAGGCTTGATCTATAGAGAAAAGCTTTCTACTTCAGGTTGTTTATAAGTACAATACTTATCAGGATTAAGGTTCTTTATAAGATTTTATAAGTATACTTATAAGGGCTCTGTAACCCTAAACCCTTTACCCTCTTCAGCACAGAGGTGCCGGCCAGCGCCTATACAAGTTGCGCCCTGTTGAGGGCAAGAGGTAACAAGTGTGTGAACAACAAGCGAAAGCGCCGCCACATCTATGTCTCGCAGGAGACGGCAATCGAATCACCTCACGGCCTTTCGTGTCCCCCGAATGCTCTTCGGGCGCGTTGCTTGGGCCAAGTTTGAACAACTGACGAACTGCTACAGTCTAAAGTGTTGCTGAATCATGCTGCTCTGTCTGCCTTCCTGTTTCTGCGCGACACCCGTAACGCTAAACTCCTAAATCCCGAACCCTTAAAACATCCCGATATACAGGCCCTAGTACACCCTAAGCCCCTAGACCCCCTAAACCCTAAACCCTAAAACCTAAACCCTAAACCTTAAAACCTATATAAACCCTAAACCCTAAACCCTAAACCCTATAAAACTTCATCGATCAGGTCGCTCTCAAGGTCGGCCTTGTCCTGAGCCTTCGAAGCAGCGAGAGCCATGTCTGCCTCTCGCTTCCTCAGCCCAGGGAAAGCTCCCAATCTTACCTACCCAGACCCCCAAAAGGATCTAAAAAACAGATCCCCTAGTTAGGGACCCTAACTACTAAAGGGTACTTTACAGGAACCCCCTTAGGGGATGTGTTTTTTTAGATCCTTTTGGGGGTCTGGGTTTAGTTTAGGTATTCCTTGTTGTTCTCTTTAAGGGTTTAGGGTTTAGGGGTTTAGGGTTTCTAATTCATGAACCAGGCTTAGGGCGAGGATCCTGTCATGAAAAAAGCCGCCTGAAGGATTGGAATAAGGCCCTGGTGATTATATCTACAGCACAGAATCCTCAGCAAGAGTGTTAGTGATACTTCCGACCCTTCTAATGCCCTCTTAGACCGGGAGTTCCAGGGCTTGTGCGGCTAGTACAAGGCTTTCTGCGGATTATTGCGGTTGCTAGGGTCTCTATAGGGTCTTGGTTTACGGTCTAGGGTTTGGGGTTTGGGGCTGCCCGAGCGTCTTGGCGGCATCGGCAATCGTCTCCTGGTAGTCCTCCTGAGCATCCTCTTCTTCGGTCTTGGCGACGGCCATTTCCTTCTCGATGTCGCTGGACAGCGTGTCGATCATCTTCAGGACGCCGTTGCTTTCCTCTCAGGGTTTATAGTTCTTCTGGAGTCGTTGCTCCAACACTGCAAACGCCGCGTTGAGTAAGGTCTGCATGGGCTAAGACAGCTCCAGCGGAAGCTCATGAACATCTTGTCTTCAAGCATGGACGTGTAGGAACCCTCTTATCCCCACATCAAGGAACTGAACACAACCAGTACTCAAAGGCATACATGAAGCTTCCGGAAATATTGTACCGTACATACAAACCCAAGATTTAATGTCTCAGATACCCAAAGTCCCAAAGCCCCAGCAGAGAAAGCCTTGAACTTCTAGAACCCCCCCTGGGTCTCCTCGCCCTTCTTTTCGTAGGCGCCCTCGAAAGTAGGAGGAGGCTGCTGCACTTTCCTTGAGGTCCGCTGGAAGAAAGAGAGAGCCTGGGTTGGAGAACGGGGAGCTTAAGGTTACCTCGGATTCCCATCAGCCCCGAAACCCCACACATTTGGGAGGTTCCGAAGTCAGGGGTACCTTATTTTGGATTCCTTTTAATAAGGATCCTACTATTCAGGGTACTATATTAGGGTCCCCTTATTCTCTGAAACCCCTATTTGGACTGGAAGACCCCCCAAAACCACCGGAATCTTGAGGGCCGAGGCTCATATGGGCTCTTGGTGGTCGTCTCCGTGACCATCGTGGGGTTGTAGACCTTGTTCATGCGATCTCGGGCGAGCGTCAGCAAATCCAGCGAGGCCGAGTTGGAGGACATGCTCTCCTGGTACCTTGAAGGCGTTTCAGTGTTTAGGGCTTATAAGGCTTCGGGGTTTTAGGGTTAAGGGCTTAGGGGTTTAGGGGTTTAGGGCTTAGGGTTCAGGTGATTAGGCTATAGGGTTTAGGGTCAAGTTGAGTCTTTAGAGATGTGGAGAGTTCATCGGATTATGGGTTCATGACAACTTCGCATAAACGGAAGTAGAAGTTCTTGCGATCAAACTAAGCTGGCTCATATCATCTTGTACAGGCTTCTAGTTCTTGGAGCCGTCCGCAACGAGGCTTCGTGATGCATTTGATCAATGCCTGGAGATCACCCGGCGAAGTAAGTTCAGTGTTCAGGCTCAGTTTGCCCGAATCGCATCCATTGGGAAACCATGTTGACCCCAAGCTGTTGCCAACAAGGATCGGGCAATATTCCATTCCCCTATCCATACCGTGCCAGTCTTAACAGTTCCTAACAGAAACACAAGGCCCGAGAAGGGTTGAGGCCCTGCGCTACCCTTTTCGGCCCAGAGCTCTCTTGGAAGGTAAGCGAAAAGGAACAAGGGTTTAGGGTTTCAGCACTCACTCTCGGACAAGCCTAGGGTTAAGGGTTTAGGGTATGTTAATGTTGGAGACCCGCGGAAGAGACCATCGACAAAGGAGAACAACCAAAAACTGAAACAGCATCCCGTCTAATGCTACGGTAGTTGAGTACTTGGGCACTTGGGCACTTAGAAGTCCCCAGAAAAAGAACGAACCGAACAACATTTCATCAAAGAGATGCCACCCGAAACCCTAATTTTCTGGCAGCACTCAGGCGATGTGGGTTTCAAGGCTTTTGTTCCGTAGGGTTCCCGGTTTAGGGTTTGGCCGAGGTGACTTGGGCTTCAAGGGCCGAAACCGGCACCAGACGCCGGAAAGCTCTGCAATGGTTATAGGGCTTAGGCACTGAAACCCTACCCAGGCGAAGGTTAAGCTTTTGATTCTGGGCATGATTGTATATACCCGAAAAAGGTTGCTTCCCCGGCCCTTTTAAACAGGTTCTGATTAGCGAGACCGCAAAATCTAAAGGGCAGAAGTCTTTTCGGAAGCCTGGTATAACCAAGGTGCTCGATGTGCTCAGCCTTCCTGTTCTCGCCAGCCTTCGCCACGGACTCGTCCAAAGACTTGACTCCCGCCTGCCAATACTTGGGGGTTTCCGAAAATAGGGGACCCTAATATAGTGCACTAAATAGTAGGATCCTTATTATAAGGACCCCAAAATAAGATACCCTAATTTTCGGAAACTCCCACTTGCAGGCACGCGCTTCTGTAGAGTGTTTTGACACTTAGGCTCGGACGATCCAGGCAAGGTCGGGGGGCACACACTACGGTCAAACAAGCGAAAGGATTGCAGGGACGGTCAACTGGGTTTCCAAACACCTCGACACTAACCATGGACCGCAGCACTTTACTCCAATTGTTTCAGGTTTGGGGTTTGATTTTAGGGTTTTAGTGGGCTCAAGAAGGTAGGTATTTGGGTTCATAACAGATGCGAAAGAAATACATTTACTAGGTCCTTGTGCCCTGAGGTAGTCTCCTCTCGAGACGTTTCATGTCAGTTCGTCGTACAGGGGCCTCTGCCTCTGGCGAGGAATCCACAGAACGACACCGAACGCGCCTGCAGGGCAGAAATGTCACCGGCGAGCTTGGCTATGGCGGTCTTCTTCTCCTGCTCTGTGTGTGTGTGCGCGTGCGGCAGCACGTGTAGGATGTGAAGACAACAAACCTGCATACCACATGTGCTCTGCGCTGGACACACTATGAGTTGACAACCTGAAGTGCTGCTGCAATATATGTGTTAAATACCCTCAGGCTCCATGTAACCAAGCACAAAAAACTTAGGCCCAATCAGCCTTAAGGAATATAATATAATATAATATATATATATATATACTCACATATAATGCCTGAAATATAGGCTCGAGCCGAGGGCTCATTGCTTTTGGGATTTCGGGCTGACTCAGCGCAAGATTTACGTGTCCGGTATCTTTTCGGGTTATAAAGAGGCTATAGTACCCAAATGAGCTATAAAGAGGCTATAGTACCCAAAAAAAGCTAAAGGGTTCCTACTCTGCTACCAAGTAGAGTCTAAGGAGAGGTCCAAGCTAACCCATTAACCCATCTCCCCACTCCTTCACGCTGGCAGTCAGCGATTTGATCTTGGAGTCCAGAGACTTGGACTTTGCGGCCACTTCCCGGAACTCCTTCTTGCAGTAGGCCTGCTTGGAGGCATCGTCGACGGACTCGTTGGCCAAAAGCTCGACCATGCCCTCGATCTTGTCCACGACTTTGCTGAAATCTGCCTAGCCAAGCAGGGCATGCGACAAGAAACGGAGCCGGAGTCGCCAAGACCGGAGACCCTCCAGTCCAAAATATCAATGCACAGGGTCCTTGAAGCCAGAAGCCCCGGCGAGGTGATAGAGAGGCATTGAGGGCTTTTTGAGTGTGCAAGAAAGGGACTCTGCACGATGCAACCTAGCTCACTGACCTGGTCCTGACTATATATCCTTACTATATCTCGCATGACCTTTACAATGCCTTACTCGAATCGAGATGCTGCGCCTGACTGTTAACATCTGAACCGCTGAAGTTGTTCAACGCACAGTAGTTCTTCAGAACGTCAGTCCCAAAATAGCCGTAGTAACCTTCCCTGTTTAGCGAGGTTTTCCGTGCCAGGCAGCGTATGCCCAATGCCCCCACTCACAGCAATTCAGGCTTGGTATCAACACATGTGACGGACAGCGAAAGCTTAAACCGTCTGAATCGGCAAGAGGAACGAATGCGAATGATGCCGGGCAAGCCCTGAGCCCTAATCAGGTCTTGGCGTGTTGGGTTTAGAGCTTCAGGTTAAGAGCTCAAGTAATTAAACCTGCCCCCCCTCGTACAAAAACACAAGGACACCCTGCCTTCTTGCCAGAGAGCGCCAAGGCCAAGAAGTTCAGCTCAGGGTGTGACCCCGCATCTTTCCTCGGTGCATATGGGGGTTTCCGAAATAGGGGACCCTAATGTAGTACCCTAAATAGTAGGATCCTTATTAGAAGGACCCCAAGATAAGGTACCCCCATTGTCGGAAACTCCCATATGCTTTTGGAGATGCATGGGAGGAAGGCTTCAGAGTTGAAGGTGCAGGGGTCGGGATAAGAAAAACATCGGGATTGCCGCGACCTACAGTCAGATTGACATTGCCCCCAAGCCTGTTTGCTAAGCTTGTCTGCCAAATTCGTTTCTACCGGTCGACTGAACAATGCAAGGGCTGAAGAAGCTGCACACAACTTTCCCTGCAGTGGGACTCGTGGCTGGGATGTGAGTCATCTTTGTTTGCTCTGCGGCTCATGGTTTAAATACATTATAATAAAGTCCACGGCTTTTGGAAGTGTCAGGCATGTTTGGTCAGAGGCCCTGATCCTTAGCCGTAACCAAGACTGCACCTCTGAGGAGCCCGATGACTGTGTCCCTCGCTGATGCGCTGAAATAGTGAACGATAACATCAAGCCGCCGCCACACTCAACCCGAAGCCCTGTCATATCCTACACCCTTTCTCCTGGTACTTGAGCTTCTGCTTCTTATCATCTGTGTATATGCATGTACACATGCATCCGCATTTACATACATACATACATACATNNATACATGCATACATGCATACATAAATCATACATACAGACCTACACGCATACATGCATACCTACGTACGTTCGTTCGTTCATTGGGAATCACTCGTAAAACATACAATAGACATACATACATGGCAAATTTCATTTGTACACACAACCAAAGGTATACATATCCCTAAACCTATAGACCATAAACCCTAATATATATATATAT